GCACAATGGTAACCATTTTGGAAGTGGAAAAAAAGAAGGACATTCCAACTGTTAGAATTCTTTCGTTTCTCTTCTTTTTAACGAGTGGAAACCACCAGTTACAAAGCGAGCAAGTAACATATTATCAGCCCTTCTCGTCTCTAAGCACATATAGGTAATCAATTGAAATTATGGAAGTAATGAGGAGTCAAGTAGGCGGACCGTGTTGCTTGTCACAGTACCAACTTTGCGGTTGGAAGTTTGGATACGATGTACTACTATTAATCACTAAGGTCTATTTCCTGCTGGATGCACTTATTTTGATTTTCAGTTACGGATTAAAACGATTCATCTTAAAAAACGCACATTAAAGAAAACGCAAACTCGACACTTTTTTACATTGCTCGTCAAGAGCTATGCCCAGGATAAGGTAGTACAAAAAAGCGACCATCTTCTCGTCTTAGACATAACAGCGGTGCCTTGAGATATAACAGAGGAACAGTTCAATCATGAGTCATCAAGATGGGGTAGGTTTACCAGGAGCCAGCTCAGACTTCCTGAATAAAATAAGAAAATACATTGCACGTCTCGCATAAATATTAAAAGTACATTATAACAGGAAAGGAGAAATTTTTTTTACAGACTAACAATATCAAAAAGTAATTACTTTTTTATGTGACTGCTTTTTAAACTCTTCTATCATTTCCAGAACAGACACTCCGTTTCCGGTGCCTAAGTTGTATATCTGAAATATTAAATAAAGAAATAAATTTGTTTACGTCACTGCAGAAATTTACCTCGAGGCCACAGGCATCAAATATTCGGTCCAAAGCAGCCACGTGGCCAATCGCCAGATCGACTACGTGAATGTAATCTCGTACACCTATGCAAAGAGTTGACGACACATTGTTTTGAAAAATGTATTCTACCTGTTCCATCTGGCGTGTCATAATCATTTCCAAAGACTCTCACAAACGGCAGTTTTCCTACAGCAACCTAAAACAGGACTATATAAAAATTCTTTTCTCAACAACTGCATCTCGATTACAACCGAACAAACAGACGCATAAAAGCAAAACACCATATAGAAAGGTTTTTCAATAAGCAATCCTTTGACGTCATCGCTAAGCAAAAATCATTTATAACTGGCTAGAAAATGCATCTCGCATAAGTGTCAACGAGATTCTTTATGCATTCGTTTGCTAATCTAAATTTTTTGCAACCGGTAAAAACTGCTTCCATGGTTTAATAAAACCAATGGCAGAGCACGTTAGTGAACTGTATTAGTGGATGAAGTAAAATAAAATTTTAAGTAATTTCAGACTTGCTTGACATCACATTAAACCTATATGCATTTGAATACATGGATATAACTCTACACGACACGGCGATGTTCAACTCCCTATACTACAAGCATTTCTTTAAAATTAAAGTTACAGTTAGTGGTCAACAACAAAACTTCATGCAACGGCTGGTTCTATATGGAAATTATTAAAACATGAAACGATGAACACGGATTAAGTTGTACGTGTTTTGAGTGCAGTTAAACATAGTTTCTAGGGAACTAGGTCTTTACAATAATTTTACATGTATACCTTGTCTGGTACTTTTAACGTAATACATAGATTAAGGTCTGACCTAGCTGCAAGAGTGGCAGATTTACAAACCTCTAAGTTTGCGCAAAAAAATTAAGTATACTCAATGGTGTTCATGTGTTCATATTATTGTAAGACTTATTGCATGTATTCAAATTATAAACAGACAGGTCTTTCAGCTATATCTACCTATATTTATAATCATATCTCGGTTTCAGTGCTTCGATGTCTAAAAGTAGAAAGAGCCTGAATAAAATAACTTTCAGCATACAAATGACTGACAGTATTAAAGCAGTGTCTGATACGAAGCAGCATGAATAAATTTACGTTAGCATTCATTATCCTTCTTCTGAAATCCGTAATTTCATATCTTTGATCTATTTGACTGCGATT